ATAGACAAGTTGAGAAAATACCAATCACAAATTGTGCTATCCCTTTTGGATTTCCGATAGTACCTCAGACAATTTGACGACTTCTTGATCACTGATATTTCAGCTTGGAAGATACTGCAATCGTCATTGAGTCCAAATGAGATTTTTGTTAAAAAATTTTCGATGATGATGATTGCCATTAACGTAACAATATTCAATAAGAACTGGTCGACGTTCAGTTCTTCTAGCATGATTCCAGCTTTCGCCAAGGTATCAGCAATATTATTGCCGTGTCCTTTAACCTATATAAGGGTAATGTTCGAATGTCTTGCCATCTCGTTCAGAGACATCCGACATTCATAGACAAGTTGAGAAAATACCAATCACAAATTGTGCTATCCCTTTTGGATTTCCGATAGTACCTCAGACAATTTGACGACTTCTTGATCACTGATATTTCAGCTTGGAAGATACTGCAATCGTCATTGAGTCCAAATAAGATGTTTGTTAAAAAATTTTCGATGATGATGATTGCCAATAATTTGGCTAGAATGTCCACTGGAGTCCAGCAGAAAACAAAAATATATATATGTATTTATGAAAGAAATCAGACTCTCATAAGTTATGAGGCTCATGTAACTTGTAATAGGTTTAGATAAACAAATTTAAGTGGCTCACATGGGTCCGTCTGATTTCGGTCTCGTTGTTATTATTCACTACTTCCAAACTTGTGATCTTTTTTAAGATTTATCCCAGATATATCCTCCTTACAACAGAGAACCGCAGCATATAAAATAGAGTTATCTGTTCCCTTTAAATATCGGACAGTAACAGAGGAGATGAGATATATATTGTGACAACTTCTATAGTAGTCATTGTACTGGAGACCAATTCTTCGGGCATGATTACCAACAACACAGTGTTCCGTTATTGCCCACGAAAACTTAACAATAAGCTAGACTTAGGGGCATCACATAGAGGACACGTTGACCTCGAAGTTAGACAGGTGGTTTCAATAAACTATCTGATCTGAGCTCTGTCATATAGTTCACTTTGATCAAGTGCCTTACAATTAGTAGGTGAAGTAAAGGCAAGACAAAACAATATTTGTATCTTGTAGAAAATGGAGGGGAAAGTGATAGAAACCTAATGGCCCAGTAATAGCCTGGGCTTTATTCTTAGTCATTCTAATTTTATTGAATTCCTTAAAATACTTTTGTGCCAATATAGTGTAAATCTTTTTAAAATCTGGTTATAAACATCAATATTAACAATATTACACATTTTACTATAACCCTGACTACAGTATGCAATTTTATTAAGCATATTTGTTTAAATGAAAATTCTTTGTTTTTTTCTTATTAGTTTTATTTAATTTTTTTGCATATTCAATAATATTTAATTTCAAGTTGTTATTGTTATAAATAAAATTTATTATTTTTTATATATTGTCTTTTCACACCATAGTTAATGCAAACTAAATTCTAAACAAAATAAAAAATCAACTAATAATACTGGGTAGGTATATGTAACAAAAAATATTTAATAATAAATTTGCAGCAGCATACAACTGTAGTCAAGGTAAAAATTAGAACGAGGCCGGCAACAAATGTAATAAATAATATTATTAACTGAACTAACTGATAACTAAATTAAAATGTACATGTACGTTCAAAATAATATTAATAATAAATTAGAATCATTAGTACTTTCTAGAAAATTGAACTGATGGACGAAAAATGTAAATAGGAAGTTAAAATTTTTTTTAAGGAAAAGGTTTTTCCATTAATATGTTAGTTAGCTTCTAGTTAATATTGCTTTCTATTTATTTAGTGTTGAAATAAGTTTTTGTAATCAATACTATGTTAACCACAACAAAAAGTTGTAAACATTTCAAATATTTTCAGTTGCTTTTCAACATAATAAATATGAAAGTATTTAATAGCACAATCTACATACTCATCGTCATTGAATATTGAAAAAAAATCAGGTTAAAGTCGTTTGAGTGTCCCAAAAATCTCACACACTTATTGCACATCTGTAAAGCTTTACTTTTTGTAAGCTGATAAACAGATAATTGCATATTGGAGGGTTTTGTATTCTGGGAAAGACATATTTCTTTGTATTCTTGGGAAAGATTTTTTTTTTAATTAATAATTTATAATATTAATAATATATAAATTTCAGAATGTAGACTGAATAGGGATACTTATGTTGGAGACGTTCTTAGCGAACACACGAGTAATAACTACGCTACTGGTCTGAAACAGCTAACAGTGAGTTTTTTGCTCCTATTGGGGCTACTAGATATTTTGGTGGGAAGTTTTTCATTCCTTTTGGATCTTGTCCCTTTAAACATCCATCAAATCATTCAATATTTGTTATTCATATTGGACAACATTGAGGGTTTATTTAAACTAGGATTTCTATTTCCTCAGACTTATTTATTTTAGAGAATCGATACAATTGTCTTTTAATCCGAAGATTTCCCGGGAATTGTATTGAAATCTTTAAACAGGAATTCTAATTTGTATCAGCAATAGAAATCTTGTATTTCCAACAGAAAATTTCCAAACTCTTCGGATATCTCGAAAAAGTTGTCCGGATTTGACTTAAAGTTTGAAATCTGGGGATGTTAGATGGCGTCAAGAGGAGCTTAATATTTAGGAACTTTCCTTGATAGAAAGCTTAAATTTAATGGAAAGAAAGAATGTAAAAGAGGAATTAACATAAAAGTGTTATATAGTAAAGAATTGGGGCCTACAAACAGATATGGTAAATTGGATTTAAAGGTCGATTGTCAGGCCTATTCTCACTTATGAATGTATTGTCTGGCTAGAGACGTTGGGAAAAGGACAGTTACATGAAGATGCAGAAAGGTGTACCTCACCACAAGCTGCCCAAGGGGCCACACACACCCCACAAGGGTGTGGGGCCTAGGAATGTACTAAGACTCTATAAGCATTTGTTATTCAAACCGTCACGCAACAATCATACGAAAATTCTGTACGAAGTATGTAGGTCTACTTGATCATGGCAACTTCCCTTGTCGAATTTCAGATTATAGAAATACGATTCTAGACTTCGGGGAAACACGTTTGATAGAATTTTCAAATAGGGACGATTGGCTTGTATCCAATAGACTGTTTGAGGGAAGGGTCGGGTTTTACCGACGGGTTCAAGATGCATACAGGCAAGAGTTCCGGTATACATCGCTGATACCGATACAAACAGATCCTTTAAACTCCCTAACGAATGCATTGTCTTTTAAGCAGTGATCCTAGCTATGTGGAAAGCAACGGAACTGATACCGAATCATATCGATCTAGATCGGTTGTGAAAATTTATGTCGATAGTCAAGCTGCTCTATCGAATGTGCATTGGCATGTCAACACCTGGTGCGATTGCTTCTTCGATACTTATACGACTGGATAAGCGCAGTTCTTAACAGGGAATTGCTCTATCAGGGCTTTTGTCATTAAGTGAGACAATAATAAATCGGATTATTGCAGGTTATGCGTTAATGCAGAGGAACTAGAGACGATGGAGCATCATCTCTAGTTGCAAATGTCCTAGAGTATAGAATCTCAGATTGAAATGACTAGAAAATAGGTTCTATGACGAACTGGGGTTATACATTATAGTCATTTTGCCGACTGGGTTTTATGAAGAGGTTCAGATTCCCATATCCTTTCTTCTTAAGGGAACTGATTTGGTATAACTTCAGAATTGAAAACCTTTTCAGTAATCAGTTCTCTTTTCTCTTTCATTATGTTCTTTATGTTTCTTTAATGTTTTGTATCTTTATTATTGGATCTTCACTCCTTACGAATGAAATCATGATGGACCTTATAATCTATGAGTGAAATTGCACCTTTATATGATGCTTCTTAACCTAACATAATCAGAGTATTGAGTCTTTTATAATATTGCCAGAGCAAAGAAGACATAGGAAAAGATTTTGAAAAACTTGGATCACCTTTCGATAATGTTATCCTTCTAAATCCCAAAATAAACTTTACTTTTAACATGAGTTTTTACAATGCGACAGTGAATAGAAGATACATTTTCCACGGTTTTAGTAATCGATTAAGAAAGGGATTTGTAGAAACTGTAATCTTCGGAATGTACAAGTAGACTAGATCCAAACAAGAAATCAATAATTTTACTCGTATTTTTTTTAATAAATATCAAATATTTTAAAAGAAAAACTATTAAATTTAGACTTCGATAATACCTAAATCCTAAACGGGACATTCGAAATCCAGATTTTTGAAATGTGTAACTTTGTGATTTGAGATATCGTAAGATCTATGATCTATTTAAAAAAAATTAAAAAATTTAACTACGAAAACCCTTTTCTGACAAATCTTCTAGCTGCCTTATTCCTAAACTTTTATCAAAGGTTTATAAATCAAATTTTCATACAAAATTTGTTCTATAAACCTTTAATAAATGTTTATAAATAAGGCCTTTAAACTATAAAATATTTCTGATCTAATAAAACACACTTGGCAACACAATATTTCTCTTAAGGGGGATTTTGTGAATTATTTCATCAACATTTCTCTTTAAAAGAAAGTTATCAAAGTTCAGAAAGCGAAATCCTGGACAGCAACAAAAACAATTTGTTAGAAAATGCACTAGAAAAAGTATTTGTTTGTTTAAAAACCATAAAAAAAATAAAGACTGATTAAAATACCTATAAAGACAAGGACAGGCATATAATTAAAATAAAACAATGACAGAGACAAAAACAATTTTTTTATTTTTAATTATTTCAAATAATAAAAAAAACCAGATTAAATTAAAAAATTTATATACTATAAAGATCTATAACGATCAGCAGCTAACAGCTGCATGGCGTTTAAGTACAAAAATATGCAAATAACTGTCTTGGCGCAACAAAGAAACAATTTACATATATTTTATGTAAATTGTAAATTTTTAAAAATATATATATAAAGAAAAATCTGTAATAAAAGGTATTTATAGGGGACAAAGGAGGCATTTATACTAACCATAGGCATAAGGTGTCATAAACATGTTCATATTTGCAGCAGCGGCACACGATATGACGAGGGCAATATTTGATATTTAAATTATTTTAAATTAAATTAAGAATAAAGAAAACAAAAACGAATTAATTTAAAAATAAACGAAACGAGACGAACGAATTATTATTATTTCGGTTAAAAATTAAAACAAATAAAATTAAATGGAAAAAATTACTTAAAAACTAAAAACAATTGAAAAATTTATCAAAAAGGAGATGAGAAATAAAATTTATTTTTATATATTTACAAATTATTTCAAAATATTTCAACAAACTTAAATTCTAAAAAAATAAAATATTTAAAAACAAAAACAATTGAATTAAGTTTAATCACAGAATTTTTTTTTTATATTTTTATGGCTTAATTTTGCGCAATTAGACCTTGAGTTTTTGGAGATTTTTTTAAATAAAAATTATTTAAATTCAGTTACGACACAAACTAATTTTTAAAGTTCTCTTCTTTTTATTTAAAAAGATATGAAAATGATTAACGATAAGAAAAGAAAACTAATAACTATTAAATTGTAAATAAAAAAAATTATGATTTAAATTGTATTAAAAAAAGAATAATAAAAGAAATATTAATATTGTCTCTTGTATTGTTTGTTAAATCTCAAACAATTATGATAATTGTGTAGCAACAACAAAAACAGGAACCAAAAGGTAACGAGCAAATAAGTCGCGTTGCCTATTCTTAGAGTGAGAAAAAAAAAAAAGAAGAAAAACAAACAAAACCGTTAACGTTTTTTTTTTTTTTTTTGCCTAAGAAACCGTAACCGTTTGAACCGAAATTTGATATTTTCTTTTTGTTAGTTTTAAACTGCTTTTTTTTTTGTTTGAACGTAGACTTTCTTTTTTTATTGGTTATAAACCTGTGTAGCTGCTACCGCTGCTGCAATAATTTAACGCCGCTTCACCAGCTTTTGCGAGTTGAACACAATTTCGCGGTTCCAAGTATAACGGTATCCACAGTGAGGTATCATGCTCACGGTGACTTTGGCAATGGTGAAAACTTTGTCGGCGTCGTCGTCGTTGTTATAGTGGATGTTGTCAGTTGTAGAAGTTAAATCCGTAAACAACTTCAGTTTGACGTTAATCTTTAGTTTATGTTAAAGAATTAACGAAACCTATTTTTCCCCCAGACAACGGTCAAAAACTCGCTGAACTCAACGAATAATTACATTTAATGTTAAGCGATTAAAGCCCCTTAAGTTGTAAATAACACCCGACGGTAAACGTTTAGGCCAATGCATAAGATTAAAAATTGTTTTAAAACGTTTCACTAAAACGTTTTTTTTTATAAATCTTTTCTTAAGAAATTGTATTTTTATTCAAAAAATTTTTGTTTTTTATAAATTTATTTTATGAATTTCATATTTTTTTTTCTGTTTATCACTTTACACAGTTATGGAAAAATACCGATTTTCTACGGCAATCAAGTTGTGAGTTTTGTTTGTCTCTCTATTGCTTTGTTTATTATTATTTTATGGTTTTATAATTCAAATTCAAATATTAACGAACGAGCATGATAACAAACAGCATCACTTATGAAAAACGCACAAAACAAACCCTTTTTTTAAAAAAAAAGGTATTTATTTTTATTTTTGTCTGCTTTTGTTTTATATTTTTTGTTTTTTCTTAATTTCTGTCTGGTGTAAAATATCTACACTCTTTAAATTATTAACAAGCGTGTTTTTTGTATACAAAATTTTTAACAAACAGCACGAACGATCGTAAGATTGAAACTGAACTCGTGTCGGAATGTTGTCTTTGATTTTGAACGAAAACTACATATAAAAATCTCAAAAACACTCTCAAATCAACGATCACCACAACTCAAGACATTCGTTGTTTTCAATTGAATTGAATCTTGGCTGATAAATCTCATTTGTTCATATTAATAGCTCTGGTTATTGGCTTGTTGCTGCTCACTGGATGCTTGGCTATCTGACGCGGGCGCGCTTTTAGTTTTACTGCAGCTACAGTTACCAGCTGTTGTTGTTTTTTTGTTTTTTGTTCACACTTGTATATTGTTCAAGTGGGTATCAATATTAAACCATAACAATGTGAGTTGTAACGTTGTTGTTGTTATTTTGGCTCGTGTTGTGTATGGATACATTGACATGTGTACCCTACATCCAAACACTTGCTTCAATCTGGGTCTCCACGGTTTGTGTTTGTGTTTATCAACGATCATTTGAGAGAGATTAATGCTTTACATTGTGTGGTGAGAAAAGTAATTAATCCAGTTAAACGAAAACAAATAAATTATAATACAATAACATTGCAATCGACGAAAGAAAAACAAATTAATTTGGGTTTTAATCTTTATCTTGTTATGTTCTTAAAAACAGGGGTTCCCATCGTATATTGCAACTGCCAGATTGTCCAAAGTAATTGAAACAGTTGAGATCAATCCATTGCTGTTAATGTCATTACGAACTTCACTCTCCTCAATCATAGGTGTCGTCTTCGACATCCTGCTAAACTTCTCAGAACACTCAATTGCTCAGAAAAAGAACCAAGGTCCAATGAGCTCGTGCTTAAACCTTTAGGTATATGATTAAGGAGAAGATATCTCGATATCCATCGCACAGTGGTATAGGAAAAAAAAAGAGGGAAATAATTCGGTAACTTCTAAACGGTTAATCCGATTTTAATGAAATTTGGTATGCACAAAGAGGAGGTGTTGTCGAGTTTAGGTTTTGAATTTGGACCTTATAGGCCAACCAGGGGCCCGGCGGGGGGTCCTCAAATTAGGACACCTCGGCTATGTTAAATTTTTAAAACGATCCTATTTCTTCATTTGAGTTCCGATTTAAAAAAAATTTCGTATATAGAATCTCCTCATCGAGCACTATAAAAAATGTCGTCGTAGCAGTAAATTATCTCTTATAGTTTAGGAGATATTCGCATTTGAATATTAAAATTTTAAAATTTTTACCGTCCTTACTTTAGTTTTTTTGATAATAGCAGGTCCAAATATTTCCGATTTTCGCCATTTTTTTTTTATTTGCTTAACAACAAGTTTATATACCAAGCAGTGAAAGAATTATGTAAAAATCATGACTGAGTCCAAAGTTATAGGCATTTAAATTTAAAAAATTAAAAAAAGGCGATTTTTTGACATTTTTTTGGGAAAAAAGTATATTTTTCTTTTTAAGTTATCTAAAAAGTTTCTAAGAAGATGTATATAGAATTTATACTTTTTGGAAAGCTGACTTTACATAAAATACGATAAATGAAACAAAACCTAAAAATTTTTGATACCGAGGGGACCAGGTCCATCCAAAAAAACTCTATTTTTTATGGAAAATTAAATTTTGAGCAAAAATTCTCAAATCGCATAGTCGATATCAAATTATAGTGACCTGTTTTATATGACCCAATAAGTTCTTAATCATTTTGTAACGGGTTTCGATAACCCCGCCCCTGGTATGGATATAATAGGCAAAAAACCAAAAAATCCCATTTTTGGGATTTTTTAAAACTTTTTTGGGAATTCCGGGATTTCTAATAAGAAAATTCGAAATTTTTATTTAATTTTGGATTTTGAGTAAAAAAATCTACCTAACTGTAAAATTTCATCAAAAAATATTCATAAATAAAATTTTTATTGCAATTTGAAAAATTTGTATCTTCGCAAAAACTGAATAAAAAACATTTTTTAATTTTTTTTAAAAAAAGTATTCCGCGAATTTTTTAATTTTCAAAAATTATATACAGTTTTGAAAAATAGACAAAGACAGGAGACAGGAGGAGTACTGATTTAGTAGACTTTTTATTTCAGGGAAGTTCTCGGTGCTGTTGCCATCTCAACAGGATCCAGATTGTTTCATGCTACGCGACTTATGGTTGAGACCTGCACCTTAACTTGTCGGGGTAATTATTATAACAGTAATGTCTCTAGGTGCTGTTGCCGAATCAACAGGGCCATTTCAGTAGTGTGGTTGCGCGGGCTTTTAAAGGTTAAGGAATCCACTGAAATGGGTCATTAGTTGATGTGGAATGGTGTTCACGTTAAGCACTTAAAATTCTTCCTATGGATTTTACACAAATATATGTGTTTCCCTTATACTTACAACAACAATGTAGGGAACTTCAAAAATGTAGAAGTTATTAGATTGGATTATTGAGAACGCTAAGCACAACTATCAAAATATTGACCTTTTGTGGAGAAGTTAAGAAGTGGCTTCATGTTCATAAACTATTTGCCGTCCATTCAATATGATGTTATTTGTTAGAAAATGGTCACTTTTGAAAACGTTTTTATATTTTTATATTCATTAGTGTTACAGACCCCCTAGAATGTATCTTTGGACACATACTGGTATCATTTGGAATATGGAAATTCGTGATCTAATTTAGTCTTCTTTTTGTTACCAATTAAACAATCCTATAATGTCATGAATATTCCGTGATGTATTCATTTACAATAGTTGACTTTGTTGTCATGAATATTACGTGATTTATTCATTCACAATAGTTGACTTTTTTCCTAACAGCTGTTTATTCAAATTCAATGCGAAGTTTTCAAGTAAATTTTTATTTGTGTTAGAGTTGAACTGTCTAAAAAATATCGCAATTTTTTTCCAAAATCGGTGTAATTTATTTGAGATACTTTTATATTGTTGCACATATTTTGCACTATACTGTATATTATTTAAACAAAGGAAATGTTTAGTTCCTTTTGCACTATTTCAAAATAAATTTAATTTTTTTTTTACTTTTGTTTAAAAAATCTTAGAAAAATATTCACTTTTATTTGTTGTTTTAAATAAAAATTGTCTTTTAATATTATAAAATATTTAAAAATAATCTTCAAACATTCCAAAAAATGTTTTCTTAAAAAAAACAAACATATTATTTAAAAATTATGATTTTGTATATAAAATACTTTTTATAAGATATTGTAAAAATAAAGAAATATTTCAACTTACAGTGAATTGCATAAAGCAGTAGCAGAAACACTAAATCCCATTTTATGATTATCTCACACATGATAAAATTTAATTTACAATTATAGAATTAAAAATGAAAATAATAACAACACACAATAGATATGATTATGCACGACAAGTTAAAAGAAATAATAACAAAATCTTATGAAATACAAAATTAAATTTTAGAAGAATTTTCCATCGTTACTTTTTGGAGCTTTTCAAGTTGATTAAGTGCCATCGACTAGTCTTACTCGAGGTATAACGGTTGAATAACGAAAAACAAATAATTAATTAAATAAAATATAAGAAAATAATTAAAAATAATATATAATATTAATATAATATATAATATTAATATTATATATATAATAATAATCACAAACAATTACAATTAAAAATCTGTTTTTAAATCTTGTATCACGTGCTATTTTGTTGGTGTTATTTAGTACTTTTATTTGTTTATAATTATTTATATAATAGATCCTCAAAGTGAATAACTGATGATCAATTTCACGTTTTTAAAACGCTCGAAGTAAGATCCCTAAATCTAAAATGAAATATTACACAAAAATTTTCCTCCACATTTTTATAAATATTCTGAAAAAAATTTACCAAAATCTGTTCTTTAATAATTTAACATAAATTTGATTTGTGGACCTGCTGTTAGTTTTTTTTTTATAATTTGAAATAAAAATCTTTTAATATTATGTTTATGTTTAAAAATAAAGAGGACTTTAAACCTCAACTTTAATTTCACGTGCTCTAATCTGTAATATATAATATTTTCCTAATCTTCAAATTTATTCCAGGCAAACAGTTTTGCCAAACAATAGTAAATCTAAAAATAAAAAACTAACTAACTAACTAACTAACTAATAAATTATTGCTCTCGCTAAATATATAAATAATAAAAGATTAAAGTTTATCTTTAATAAAAATCCCCTTAAAAAAGTTTCTGTCTTTCGTTCAAATCAAAACTTTTTTGAAACTACCAGACTTCATGACTGGGTTCTGGACTTAATTAACATTATACTTTGTTCTTAATAATCAATATACGTGACATTTTTTTATTATTATTTGAAAATAAATAAGTTTAAATATTACTTATTGATTGACACCTATATAACAGATGTCGAGAATATATTATAAAATATGGAATATTACCAAACAAAACAAAATTTTAAAACTATTATCGTGAATAATAGTTTTAATTAGTTGCCATGGGAAATTTGTTGTTTAATAAAAATTTTATTAAAAAAATATATACGATTAAATATTTATTATAGTTAATTTTTAAAAATATTAAAACAATCGAAAAACATTTTCTATAGTCTTAATTTATAGAATCAGAGAAGAGGTATTACATATAACTATATGTTTAGAAGGGCATATAAACGAAATTCTGAATTCGAGAGTTTCGGACGAGCACTACTATTTTTCACACCATAAAAATACAAAAATTCAACATAAAATTCTACGGCCAGCACCAAAGCCGATAAAGTTTCTGAATAAGTCTAATACTAATTGGACAATGTTCGGGTCTTTACTAAAGAACCGTTTAGGACGGGACACTTTTCAATGTCGAAATAAAGAGGATATAGACACCAAAGTAGAAACGTTCACAAGTGCCCAGGTTGAATCGTTCGAGGACATGAGAAACCCTGAGTAACAGAGAAGATCCGAAACCTTGGGAAGATTTTTCGTAAACTATTTAACCCACGCTTAAAAAACTGGGATAAGTATGGTAGGAAACGGGACTCCTGGAAACTTTTCTGACGTATCGAAGATAACAAATTCCT